GTCCTGTCCTTCTGCTGCCAGTCTGTCCCAGTCCATCAGTCTCTCTTGCAATCCCTGTTACTGTCTCTCTCTATCCCACCCTCACCTGGTCTGGCTCAGTCTGCCTGTCTCCCACCTTTCTGTCCCTCCTTCTACCTCTCTGTCTCTGCCTCACTCTCAGTCCATCTCTGTGTCTCTCCTTCTCTCTAATCTGTCTTTCCCTTTCTGTTCCTCTCTCCCGCTCTTGGTTTTGTTTTTCTCTCTGTTTCTCTGAGCCTGACGGTGAAGCTGTCTCTCCGCCTAAAGGTTCCAGGCGGCACCTTTTCTCGGGCTTTCTTGAGTGCTTAAGTAGTGCTTCCCCTGCCCGCTCCTGTCTCTCCCTCCCTGCTTACCTGCCCCGTCTGGCTCCAGTGCAGAGAGAAGGACTGGTGCTGGTCTCTGAATCCCCCAGAGTCTGCAGGGAGCCCTTGGAGCTGGTAGCACAGTTGAGCGACCATAGGAGGCAAAGGTCGGTGCTGCTGATGCTGTCAGAGACACTAGTGCCCTTTGCTTTCTGCTACCTCAGGAAATGTATCCCTTCTGAACCAGGAAGAGGGGCTGTCAGACAAGCCCAGGGGTCACAGGTGCAGCCCCAGCTCCTGCCAGCTAGAGGGCTGCAGGCATGACCTGAGACTCGCAGGACAGTGCTCTGTGCCAAAGCCTGGAACAGGAGGCCAGGAAGGGGAGGCTAAGCAGCCCGACGGTGCCAGAGACATGGAGATGGGATCCAAGTTACCACTCAGAAGGGAGAGTCTCAAGGTAGCCAGACCCCAGCCCTAACCCCCACTATCAGTGGGGGGAAGAAACCAGACTTCTCATTTTGCCTTTACCAGTTACTGAGTGACCACAAAGAGGCTCTTTCCTGCTCTTGGCCTGTTTTCCTATCTGTGCAATGGAAAGGGGCTGCCATGGCTCGCTTTACCAGTGCTAAGTCCAAGAGTCTATCACCCTGTAGGTTTCTGGTGCTGTGACTCGAAGGGAGTGGGCCCGGGACTGTTCCATTGGGGGTGGGGAGGGGGCAGCGGCAGGAGGGGAGAGGCTGCTGGAGGGAGGAGGCTGGCTACTGAAATCACAACACTGGCCTGCGAATCAGGAGGCCTGAGGTCCAGGTCCATCCCTTCACTCCTCGACCTGATCTCTCTGAACCTCTGTTCCCCATCTGTAGAAGGGGATAATTGTGCCAGCACTATTGGGAGGATCCAGGAACTCACAGATGTCCCTGCTGGGAGGATTCAGCTCTGAGCAGAGACCAGGGATTCAAGGGGGGAGCTGGAGATGGCTCCCTGAGGATGGGGATGGGCCCACATCCCGGGGAAGAAAGAAGACTGGAGGGTTCCACTAAGGTTTTTCATGCTGGGGCCCAGGAGGGAACCCTGGAAGTCAGCGCTGCTGCCTCCCATTCTCACCCACACCCTGGCCCTTCCTGACTCCTGCAGGAGCCAGGCCTCTGCCTGCAGTTTCACTCTTTTGAAAACCACAGAAGGTGGACTCAGGGAGGCAACTAGGAGTAGAGAGAATCCTGGGAAGGGAGTAGGGAACTGGTCCTGGTCTGCTGCCCCAGGCTCAGTGTTTCCATCTGTAAAATGGGAGCACTATCCAGCCCTGATCTGATAAAATTCACTGAGGTTTCCAGACTTTCTTTGTGGAACTGAGGCCAGGCCCAGAGGAGCCTAAGCATTAGGAACCACTACCTCCTGGGACACCTGGGTGGCTCAGTTAAGTGTCCAACTCTTGATTTCGACTCAGGTCATGATCTCAGGGTTCATGGGATTGAGCCCCATGTTGGGCTCTGTGCTCAGTAGGAGTCTGCTTCTCTCCTTCTCGCTATCCCTCTCTGCCCCTTTGCTCTCTCTCTCCTCTCTCTAAAATATATAAATAAAAAAATCTTTTTTAAAAATCTTGATGAACAAATAACAAAAAAAGAACCCCTACCTCCTGCCCTGCCACTTACCCCTGTTTTCCCGGCGGGGCACCAGCCTGCCCAGTGAGGCACCAGGATGCATCCCTGAGTCCAAGCATGAGTCAGGAGCCCAAAATGCTCTTCTGTTCTCTCACATGGAATCCAGTTGAAGTAGCGAAAGCACCATTTCTTATTCTTTTCCGTATAAGCAAAAGCTAGGACGGGTTTGAACATCCACTCATTTAACCTTTCTTTCATTCATTCATTCATTCACGCACTCATTCATTTACTCAATAATCCTTTAATGGTCCCCCAGGTACCTATTCCTTGCTCGGCCCTGGCCTGGACACACAGACATGATCCCTGAAAGAATATTCTGCCCAGCATGGCAAGTCATTATCTGAGACAGAAGGAGGAAGGTGCAGAGTGGGGCAGAGGAGGGAGTCCCAGACCCGGTTCCAACAGGATGCATGGGGTGACAGCAGGTGTGGCTGGGCGGTTGGGGCACAGGGGATAAGCACCTGCAAAGGCAGGGGAGGGGAGACAAGGTGGGCCTGGCCTTGGGCAAAAGTAAGCCTTCCTGGGCATTAGGCTAAGTGAAATAAGCCAGTCACCAAAGGTCAAATACTGTGTGACTCCACTTAGATGGGGAGCAATCACATTTATAGAAACAGAAAGCAGAAGGCAGTTGCCAGGGGCTTGGAGCAGGGAGGAATGGGGAGCCGTTGCTTAATGTGTGTAGTTTCAGTTTCATAGGATGAGAAGAGTTCTGGAGACAGGCTGTGCAATAATCTGAATGTACTTAACATTTGCTGAATGGCACACCTAGAAATGAATAGGATGGTAAACTTCACATTATACCTCTTTTGCCATAATTGCAAAAGGTAGCTATACACACACATACCCCAAAAATGAGCCTTTCCCAGAGACTGAGTTGGGAAGGGGAGGCTGGATGTGGGAGGGATGGGAGACCCTTAAAACCATGCTGAGACCACCATGGTCACCCCAGACCTTTTATAGAAAGTGGGAGGGAGGGGAAGAAGAGAGGAAGGCAGGAAGAGGGAAGTGTGGCATGGCTCGGGGTAAATTGACTAGGAAGAACAGTTGTGTTCATGGGATCTGCTCAAAGGGACTTGGGTCTGGGTACAATGCAGAGGTTGGCCCCAGGGCAGAAGGGAGTGACTCCCGTCTTGTAACATCTCTGGGGGTCACTTCAAACATGAAAGGGAAGAGAGCTGTTTTGGTTGAATCACTGAATCTCCTTCGACCTTGTAGGGGAAAACCATGGCTTCTAGACCCAGATTGGTTGGTCAGGCCCAACCATTGAGGCTAAGGTTTCCAAGTGGCCTCTCTTCCCCCAAATGGTCAGACTCTGGGCTTTCTCCCTATGACTTACAGAGTTGCAGACTGCCAGAGCTGTAGGAAGACCTAGCACCCAACTCACACTTATGGTACAAATGGGGCCACTGACACCCAGAGAGGGAAAGGGATCCACCCAAGTTCACGTGCAAGTCAAGAGACTAGAACTCTGGTCTTCTAAACCCTCGTTGCCTCAATTTCTCCTTGGGCAAATCTGAAGGAACTGGATTCTATTCATTGCAAAGAAGCCTACCACATACACTGGGACTCTTGGTAGGGCTGGCCAATGCCATCTTTAGATTGGTTATCTTTTATTTGATGGAAATGACACATCCCACTAAGGTGACTTCAAATGAAGTCTAGAGTGAAATCTATGCTAATGATACCTGTGGTTCTTGGACTCAGAACTGTACTTGTGCAGTTTCAGGATACAGAAGCCCATGAGAATATGAATTTCCATCTTCGATCCAGTCCCAGGACAAGTTTAGTACAGGAAAATGTAGTGATAGGTACAGATCTCAGCTCAGGTTACTTGCTAGCCATGTGATCTGAGATTTTCTCAGCCTCAGAGTCTTCATCTGTAAAATGGGAATGATTATATCTATATCACAGAGCCACATAGAGTGCCTGGTGTGCCGTTGCTGCTCAATGAAGAGTATTGTAAATGATGATGATGATGATGATGATATTGGAGGTGAAGATGGTGGTGATGGTGGTGACAATAGTGATGGTGATGGTGGTGGTGATGGTGATGGTTGTAATGATGGTGATAACAATGGTAATGGTAGTGATGGTGATGATGGTGATGGAAATAGTAATGGTGGTGACGATGGTGATGGTGGTGATGGTGATGTGATGGTAATAGCACTGGTGGTAAAGTTGATGATGGTGGTGATAGAGATGGTGGTGATGGTGAAGGTAGAGATGAAGAGTGAAGAGTGTTCAGAATTTCCCCTCTCCTTGTTGGGTATCAGCAGGACCCAGGCTCAGGAAGGATGGATTCCAGTTTGACAACTCTTTAGTGTAAGAAGCTTTGGGCTCTCTATAAAGTGAAGCTGTGCCCGATATTGTGAGTTTTGATTACAAGGTCAGACTGGTTCCAGAAGCAGGTGCTAAGGCCATGCTCCCAGAGAACAAATATTGTCCCTCCTCCCTTGAGACTTCCCCCAATTCACCAACTCTTGGGAATGAATAGGCATATAGAGAAAGACTCTCCCAGAAATGGAAAGTCCTGAGAACCTCATACCCTATGCTCCCCACACCAGTACTCCTCATCCCTGACCCTGCAGGAGTTCTCTCACAGAATTATCATCTTCTAATATATATTATAATTTACTTATTTCCTCTATTTTGTGCCTGTTTCTATCTGTCCCAATCTTCCTCCCCCAATAGAAGAGAAACTTCAGGAGGGCAGGAACCTTCATTTGTTTCACTGCTGTATTAGAAATGCCTAAGATGGTGCCTGGCACACATTAGATGCTCAATAAATATTTGTTGAATGAACAAAGGCTAAAAGGGAGGGATCAACGTCAGCCTTTGTTACCCCACGACCGATCCAGCTTCCTGGCTTGTTACCTGGTTTCTCCTCAAACAAACAGAAAGGGCTGGGGCCTAACCCTGAGCACCCAGTGTACAGGCTTTCAGACTGGGCTCAGGCTGGGGCTGTGGGAGGAAGGGGGCAGTGCCTGGGGGTCAGTCCTGGGGGTCAGTCCCCAGCAAGTTCATGGCCTTCAGGGGGCCTGAACCCTGGGTCCCTGCATCCCTGCAGAGCCAGAGGCTGAAGGCTGAGGAGAAGATACTGGATCTGGAATTTGAAGTCTTAAGTGTGGGGTTTAACGAGGAGGGCAGATATGCCCTGCGGCTGACAGCTGAGAACCCCCTGCAGGCTGGCTCTGGGGCTGGGGTACAGTTGCAGGTAAATGATGGGGATCCCCTCCCTACCTGCTCTGTTGTCACTGACATCATCGAGCAGCAGGATCCTGGCCAGAGCCTCACCCTCACCAGGAACAAGTTTGTCTTTACTTTGCCCAAAGGTACGAAGTACGGTGGTGGCTGCGGGGAGAGAAGGGTCCTATTAACTCCTGCCCCACCAGTCAGGGACCCCAGGGAGCCTCAGGGAACCTGGGAGGGTCAGGGTCAGAACTTCAGATTGGATCCCAAAGTTCTATCTGTGTGATCTTGGACAAATGCCGACCCTTCATGAGCCCCTGCCTCCTTCGGTGTGACAGGGGGACACTGATGCTGGTCACACAGGTTGGGTGAGGAGGAAATAAAAGGACAGATGAGGAGGAGCCTGGGTGGCTCAGTCGTTAGGCGTCTGCCTTCGGCTCAGGTCATGATCCCAAAGTCCTGGGATCGAGTTCCGCATCAGGCTCCCTGCTCAGCCGGAAGCCAGCTTCTTCCTCTCCTACTCCTTCTGCTTGTGTTCTAGTTTTAGTATATGTGCTGCTGAAGCAAACAATCCTGCTTATGTTCTCTATCTTGCTATGCCTCTGTCAAATAAAATCTTTAAAAAAAAATAAAATAAAAGGACAGATGAGGAATGGCTTTGTAAATTTACAAGAGCTAAGTACCTAGCAGGTTTGGGGGCAGTCCTGCTGGATGTCACACTGAGTAACACTGGAGCCACCGTCCTGAGTGCCCAGCCCCGAACACCACTGGACTGCAGGTATGGGGGTGGACAGAGAGGTGGACCCCCGCGTCTGGCCTTCAGTAGTTTCCAGATTAGGTACAGAGGTGGGCATCTCAAACAGAGAGCAGTTAAGTGGTCTGGAAGGAGCAGAAGATCCACGCCTAGACTGCGAAGCCATGTAGGCGGGCTTCTTGGAGGAGAAGGGATGTGAGGGAACGGGGAAACCAAGTCCCAGGCCCTCAGGTGGCCAGAGATCAGGGACAGGTTGAACTCTTCCCTCCACGTAGCGGTACTCGGGACCATGTCGGCGGCTAAGAGCCCTGCCATCCCCGCATTGGCAGAAGGAGGGGTGAGAGGTGGGGCCCCGAGACCTGTGAAGGCATCATCTGCTGGGAAAGCTTAGCCAAGCCCACTCCCACTCAAAGGGCAGGCCGCCCAGGTTTCCCCGAGGGCCCTGCCAGTCATTCCTACCCCCACCCCGGGCAGGCAGGGAGTCCCCAGACCCCGCCTCTGACCCCACACCTCCCCTCTCCAGGGTTCTGCAAGAACGACTGGCAGCACGACGCGCATCTGCGGGTGGAGGCGCTGCGGCTGGGCGGGGTCTCAGGACGCCCCGCCCAGAAGGTGGGCGAGGCCATCTTCCCGGTCTTCCCGCGCCCAGACCAACCCCGCATGAACCTGTGGGCGCGGGAGCACGAGGACCTGTACCGCTACCTCGGCAGCCTGGCCCTGCTGCGTGCCAGTGCTGACACCACGGCCCGCCACTGCGGGGGCCTGGCCTACAGTGTAGCTTTCCGAGAGCACCGGGGCCCTCAGCCTCCAGTCCCCAACTGCCCCCCAGGGGCCGTCTCGCCAGAACCGGTGTCACCCCTCCCAGAGCCCCAGCTGCCCGGGCTGCAGGTGGGTGTTCGTTGGGACCCACCTCAGGTTCTGGCCTCCCCTCCCCCAACCCCCTATTAGAAGACCCAGAGTCTCTGATAAGCCTGACTGTCCCCCAATTCTACTGAGCAGAGCCGCAGAACTTCCTAGGATGGCCTCATTCAGTTCTGGGGAAACTGCATCACCCTTTGAGTGAGGGTGGAGGCAGGAAGTCTTAGTTTGAAGGGGATGACAGAAAAAGCCCACACAGAGAAGGGACACCACTGTGTGGGGTTCCTTTTGCCCAGTGGATGAGTGTCCCCTGAGAGCCTTTTGTCCTCAAGCTCAGTCTCATGTGTTGTTACTATGTTTTGAAGGAGGCCCGAAGTGACCACAAGACAGAAGTCTGTGTGCGTCCACCTTCAAACCCCTCCAGCTCCCACCATGGCCAAGAGGGACGCAGCCCTGAACCCGGATCCTGGCAGCCTCAGACCCAAGTAAGAGAGTCCTGTCCTTGTCCAAGCCAAAGGAGGCTTTCTCAATGTGGTTGTCGTCCTGCAGCCAGGCAGTGTGTCTGGTAAGCCTCTAAGCCAGCAGAGGCGAAACCTAGTAGAGCAAGCAGCAGCCCATTTCATGGCCATGAAACTGAGGATCATGCCCCACGATGCTTGATTCCAATTAATACTAATGACATTTCCTGGGGGACTCTACACGGGTGCATGGGATCCAAAGCTAGGTCAGTCCCAGAGCTCACGGTGCCACCTAGCTGGAAGACAGTGGACACAGTGTGGCCATTGTATAGTCCTGTGAGGCGTGTGCTGGAAGGGGTGCTCTGGTGAGGGAGTGCATAGACTACGCTCCTCAGAAAAACCGTCATTTGGGAGATGAGTCTTTCATTCATTCATTCACCCATCAGACATTTAAGTGCTGACTCTGTCAGACCCTCGACTAGTTCCGGGCTCTGGGGAGGGTATTCCAGGAGGAGAGACCAGAATAAGCTGGCCAAGAAGAGGGAAAGGGTCTAGCTGGCAGCAGGAGTTGGAGCTGAGTTTGGAGCCCAAGGCGCCTTGCTTTTCCTGCAGCTCCTCTCTCGGGTGGTGGGCAATGCCGTGGTCTGGGGCTGCTGTGGAGCCCAGGGTAGTGGGCTGATGGAGTTCAGGGAGGGCTGATGGGCTGGGGAAAGGGGAGGTGATCAGGGTAAGATGGCAATAGAGGAAGGTGGATATTCGATTCAGGAGGCAAGGGGGGAGAAAGTTCAGGAGAAAGAGACACCATGAGCTGTGGTTTAGACAGAGATCCGGCAGCACATGCCTAGAGAACTGGAAGGAACCCAGAGGCCAGTTTCTCTTGCCGGGGCTCAGCCTGTTACGTGGACCCCAGGTCTCAGCCTGTTAGAGGGACCACTTTGGCCTCTGTTCATTCATTCATTCAATTCATTGGTTAGTCCATTAACAAATACTGGTAAAAAAAAAAAAATGAACAAATACTTCTGACACCTACTGTAGGCTGGGGGCTGAGAACACTGCTTGCGAGGGAGTTGGAGCATCCCTGGGTCCTTACGTGACATTCTCCTTTCTCAGACTCCAAGCTCCCTGACTTCGGGCCCCTGGCCCCTCTGTCCTAGTTTTTCATGGGGCTAAATACACACACCAGAGGCACGGAGCTCAGGGAGAAGCGGTCCCCTGCTCTCTGTGACCAGCCTGAGCCAGCCCCCCACCCCCACCCCACAGACCGTTTGCTGGGGGTGGTGCAGCGGCTGCAGAGAAGGGGGGCCTTGGGGTGGCAGAGCCATCCTCAGCAGCTCTAATTTCTGTTATTTAATGCCATCATCTCCCTGCCATTCTCCCTCTTAAAGTGTCAGATGTCTGCTTCCACCAAGACAAGAAAATGGCTTTCAAGGGAGAGGAAAATAGCTTCCCTCCTGGGGGGTCAGCAATCACAACCCTGAGGACAGGGCCAGGAAATTGGTGGGGGACAGACAATGCCGCGGGGTCCTTCAGAGGAAAGGGGCTGCCTTCTTTCAGCTCAGGTGAAGGAGGAAATCAGGCACATTTCTGGAGCTGGGACTTGGAGGCTCAAAGACACAGTTAGAAGGATAGCAGCAAGACTGGGGTTGGAGCCCCAGGCGGTCCTGCCTTCCTGTGGCCCGCTCCCTGGGGAAGTGGTGTGGCCTAGAACCATGGGGATCCTTGAAACCCCCCTCCCTCCCTTCTTTGCAGATGGGGAAAATGGAGCCCAGAAGGGAAGGACTTCACCCAGCTCTCTTGGGCTCTCAACTGAAGAGGCGAGAAAGACAGTTGAAGGTGGGGGTAGGGTGAGTGATGAAAAGAGGCAGTGAGCCGGAAGGATGGAGAGAGGAGACTGCATTCATTGCATTCAGTTCAGGGCCAGGAATGGATTTCTGGGCTCAAGGTCACTTCCTCCAGGAAGCCTTCTCTGCATTGATTTTGTTCCTTCCGGAATATCTTCAGTCTTGTCTGCATCAGGCATTTCAACCATTGAATCTATTCAATTTACAACTTTATTGTAAACTCACAAGTTGTTCTCCAACTTGTGTGTCAGTTTTTAAACCAGAACTGATCATGGTCATGGGATGAATGTGGAGTAAGGGGCAGAAAGCAGGGAATTAGGAATGAAATGATCAAGAGGGAGCCGGTAGCAGGAGGCAGGGCTCCAAGGGAGCGTCAGTGACTGACTTTGACTCTGAACCACCATGCTCCTCAGCCACAGCCCACAGGATTCAGAGCCAAAAATGACACACCAAAGCTGGCCACAGCATTTCCACAATCCCGAGACTCTGCTGGGACAATCAATCCCCCCACACTCACATTATGTGGACAGTGAACACCTTCCCTTCTCTAGTCCTCAACTTTCCCCCTGTGTGCTGTGGGTCGAGGGTATAGCCCCTGCAAATATTTCCAGCGGGTACAGCCCAACTCCAGGATAGAGATCACTCCCCAGGCCCCTGACCCAGGGATGGGAGACTGGGGCGCACAGGCAGGGGCTAGAGTGGGGGACTCTCCTCGTGCATGGGTGTCGGGGTCCTTAGTGACTTTCTTTGTGGGCAGAGTTCCACCAGACTCATCTTGTCCTCTGACACTCCCTCCTTATCCTCTTGCCAGGTTTAAGACCACATGGCTGTGCCACCCTAGTACCCCCAAGGCCCTTCTTCCCCCAGAGTAAAAGGGAGTTTATCTGACCAGAATGAGGGTGGCCTGTCCGGTGCTGGGCAGAGAGGGTCCTGGAAGGTGAGGGAGGCAGCAAGGGGCAGGCCACAGTGTCAGGTCATGACTCCGGCTAAATTTTTTTAATGGGGGCACAAGGCCTCCTGGGGGGTTGGAGGGCAGGGGAGGCCACCACAGCCTTGGGCCTGAAGCCGCAGAGCCCTCAGGGGCCGCATCGCTCACTGGACCTCTCTAAGAGATCCTGAAGGTTTAAGGACAAATTCCCACAGGCAGAGTTGTTCCAGAGAGAAATCTTGGGCTGGAAATTTCTGGAAACGTGAACTTAAAAATGCCTTGCTTATAGCTCTGGGAGCAGTCCTGGGGGCTCCTTCACTCTGCAAGCAAGCGAGCATCCTCCCACTGGAGCGGGAGCTGGGGAGGGGAAGGTGTGGGGGACTCCCTCCCCCCACTCCTGCCCTGCATTTACCTCTTCCAAACAATCACAGTTTTGTTTCATGGAAACGATTCTGTTCCCCAGGAGCCTTTTAAATGACACTTTCAAGGGTCTTTTTTCGTATTCTTTCCATTTAAAACACCTTTTTTTTCCCTTTTTGCCCCGGAGGGGGAAAAAAGAGAAGAAAAAGCTAATAAAGCAATCACCAAATGCTGAGCACCTGGCTCCAAGCCTGTGGCTTCTGACTGTGGCTTTGGCATCAGCAGGCTGGGGCTTTCATTAAGGAGAAGTAGAGGGGAACGGAGCCGGCAGTGGCTGGCCCTGCCGGGTCCCCTCTGCCCTCTGTCCCTACACCTCTGGCTCTGGCTCTCTCCCTTTGTTCCCTCCCTCCCAGTCTCTCTCCACCTCTCCTTTCCGTTCTCCCCTCCCACACCCTCTCCGATCCCCAGGATCCCCATTGGGGCAGCACTCCAGGCCGGCACCCTCCCGGTCCTCAGCACCGGCTTTCTGCCTCCAACCAGCGTACTCCATGTCTTCACTCTCCTCCCCTCTTTACTCTTTTAAATTCATCGTGCCTTTTATGGCTCACTATTGCAGATGCGGTTTCTATTGCCCTGGAGACTGGAATGGTTCAAGCCGAGAAAGGCTCACAATGTGGATTTAATTAACTTTACTGCCCCGTTCATCTCACAGTGGGGATCTGGTCTGGTAGGGGGACCTGGCCACCTCTTTACTCCCAGTGTCCTTCCCTTTGCTCAAGCCTCTTCGCCTCAGTGTCAGACCTTTGGTGCCTCCCCCAGTCGGCTTCCGGCACCTAGAGAAAACTCCCTTTCTGCTACTCCCTCCCACTTCTCTGTTGGAGGAGGATGCCCAGGGCCCATTTCACAGGTGGGGAAACAGAGGCTCCAGAAAGCAGTGCTCCGGCTGCTACTAAGAGGTGGGAGGTGGGAAAGGTGAGAACAGGTTAGACCTGCAGGAGCCCTCCCAGGCTATTGTCCCTAGTCCCTCCGTGCGGGGATCCCCCTGTCGCCCCTCCTCCCTCCCTCCCTTCCGGAGCTCCATCAAATACAGGGGATTGGAGTAGGTCAGCTCCTCCTTGCAAATGAGGCAGTTTTATAGGCTTTAGAAAAACTCTCCGATTGTTCCCTCAATTACCCCGAGCGGATTGAATATATTAATCTCTCTCTTAACTCGAGTGAGACTTGGCCGCTGCCCCTCCCCCAGCCACCAGCACCCCTCGAGCGGCTCTTGGCTGGAGCGCTGGAGCGACTCCCAGCCCCTGGCCTTCCTGGCCCCGGGCAGGTCAGCCTGGGTCCAGGCAGCATGGTCTTGCTGCACACACGCATGCACACAAACACACACACACACCCAGGCGGACAGCTGCTTTATGTTTCTCTATCAATTTTCATTGATTCCCTCCTTTGTGGCTATTTAGAAGAGCCTTTTCCTTGAGTAAACTTGATGGGGGGCGGGAGGCAGGGGAGGGGATTGCAGGCAGCTCCCCCTTCTGCTCCTGTGACAACTGCCTCCAGCTTAAACACACTGTGCCTCAGGCAGCTGAGCCCCCGTTAAAAGCTACCTGAGGTTTCCCTTTGTAGCTCGATTTTCTTTTATTTCAGGGGAACAAAGGCTCTGTCAAGGCGTTCCCAGAGAGCGCTGTCACCCACATGGGGAGGGGTGCAAACCCTCGCCCGTCAGTGATGGAGGGCTGAGGCTGGCAGGAGAGGCAGGGTTGGCTGGAGCTGGCCCAGGGGCAAGGACAGGACTAGCCCCCTCAGGAAGAGAAAGGCCATCAGCTAAATGTACCACAATCACCCTCCAGGCCGCCTGATGGCCCCTCTCCTTCTTCCGTGGCACTGAAAGACTGTGTCCGCAGGGA